CCCACCACGCCCAGGCCGTAGTGCCGCTTCTGCCGGTCGAAGGCAAAGTGCTTCACCTTGGAGGCGATGCGCTTGCCGCGCTTGGCCACCGGCACCGGGGTGCGGCCGTACTCCCTCCTGCTGGGACGGCGGCTCTCAGCCCGGTGCCCACCTCACGCGGCCCAGGAGAGACCTGTGGTCTGGGGACCCCCCCCCAAGATCCCCGGGCTCTGGGGAGTCCTTTCCCAGCTCTGCCACCTCCCTCCTCCTGCAGGAGGGGCCGCCCAGAACTCACAGAGAGACCTGCACCCCGTCGGGGGAGACGGGGGAGGCCGAGCGTGGGATCGCCCGGAAGCAGCTGGCGGAGAGTGGGGGAGACTCAAACACGTCGTCGGGCATGGAGCTCATTTCTTCCTGGGGGGGGGGGTGGCGGACACACAAAGAGGCAGCGTGAGGAGTCCTGGTCCCCAGTTCTGCCCCCGCCGCTCAAGTCAAAGGCAGGCCAGGCAGGCGCGTCGGGAGGAAAGTAGAAGGTGCGTGTTGGCCCTGGCCGTGACTTTTCTGGGGGACACCCTGCCCCACCCCCAGGTCCTCGCTCTGACAGAAAAACGGGGACCTAGGAGCGCCCCAAGGTGGCACATCCATCCCACCAATGGGCCTTTGGGTCCCTCAGGGGCTCCTGGCAGGGGATGGTCAGGGCCAGGTCACTCCGCCCAGCTCCCAGGCCACCCGGTCCCCTGCCCCGAGGGCCCGCGCCCCATGCTTGCCTTACTAAAAAACGAGGAGTCAAATGTGTCTGCCCCATCGACTGCATCCTCCTCCAGGAAGCTGGGGTAGGCGAAGCTGCGCTTGACCACCCGGCACCGCGGCCCAGCGGCATCCAGCACCGAGCGCCCCTGTGCACAGGGCCGAGGCATGGGCATCAGGCCGGGTTGGGCACCCCCAACACCAAAGGGGCCGTCAAGCCCTCCCTCTGGGGATAGCGCCTCGAAGGTGCGATCAGCCCAGAGCACCGAGGGCCAGGAACACGGCACTGGCTTCATAGCCCTGGATGCATCATCCTTCCCCCACGGTTGGCCGCTGTCTTCTCTCTGGCCACCTCCTGTCCTCTGGCTGGGCAGCCAACACCCACCACTCACCTTTATTCCCGAGACTCGTGCCATCTCTCCGAGGCCTGGCTCCTCGGCACGGCACACTAGGCCCTGCCCATCTTTCTGATCCCATCTCCTGCCATTGTAACTAGAACCACATGGACCCACCTGCTGCTCCCCCAAAGGCCACGCCCCCTCCTACCTCCGGGCCTTTCCGTCCCTGCTTTCCTGGCAAACTTTTCCTTATTTTTCTGGGCTCAGCTCAAGTGCCTTCCCTGACACCAGCCCTTCTCCTGGGCAAGTTGGGGCAGCTCCTGCTCTGGGCAGGCCCTCCGCTTATCACACCGAACGGTGCCCTCACCTGGGCTGGGCTCTCCCGGGCAGAGAACTGGCTCATTTCCCTCTGCAGCCCCCTTGCCCAGCACCATCAATGGGCTCAGTGAACAGGTGAGGAGGGCTGACGGCACATTTCACTTCCTACTTTCCCAGCCCATCGGTGCAAAACCAGTTTCCCAAGCCAGAGAGCTACAGGGGCGCAGGAGGGAGTCGGGGGCTGGGACGTGGCCCAGCTGCTGGGCTGCAGGCCCTCCCTCTGCCCAGGGGTCCCAGGCATCCACTGCCCTGGGCACAGAGGGAGGCGCCGAGGTGGGCTCTTGGGGGCTGCTGTGGGGAGCGGGAGGGAGAGTGGGCAGAGGCAGGGCGGCCTCACCTTGAGGAGGGCAGAGGCAGCTTGAAAACTCATGTGGGCCACAGACATCCTCTTCCGGCGGGGCAGGTGGCCAGAGCGGACGCTGGTGAAGGAGGTGAGCGACAGGACCCCGGGGGTCAGCGGTGGGT